TTAACATAGCACAGAAATACATTTTTTAAGCCAATAGTAACTGTTTATTTAAGGTGTTGATGTACTGACAGATCTAATGTTCTACAGAGACTTTTTCTGTAAAACATAAGAAAATGTGAGCACTTTTTTCATATAATTTTTAGGTACTCTGTAATCTAAAAAATTTAGGAAAATATTCTCCGTAATTTAATGTTTTATTGAATTTTTAAAATTTTGGCTTTAAATTTACTATAATTATTGCTATTATTTTCTGATAATGTCATATATGGTCATCTGTATCTACAAAAATCAGCACATTTATACACACACACAAAAAAAAAAAAAAAATTCAGAATTCTTTTAAAAATATTGCTGTTTAATGATTTGTAAATATAGTTTTACTGAATAATAATATCATCTAGAAGGGTGAAATTAATACAGATTTTATAAGATTTTTAAACTTTATAAATTATTCTAATTAAAATTAAAAAAAAGAAAGAAAAAAAAAGTAGGAAAACAATTCTTGTAAAAATTATTAATTGAAATTTTTTTTCTTAAGATAATAGTGTCCTTAAATCTTATTTATAAAAGCAATTAAAAACTTTTCTAATTAAATAATTACATAGTTTTATTGCATTTTTTTATTTTACGATTCTGGGTAGATTTTCAGTAAATGGTTTTTCTGTATTACAAAAACAAATTGAGAATTGAAATTCTCCAAAGACTTCTACTTTTAATTAATATACATATGAAGAGGGTGGAATTTTAATTTCTTGAAATTTCATAAAATTAAGTAAGTGGGGGTAAGAGAAAAAAAAAAAAAAAAAAAATATTTACCAAGAGTTTCTAAAAAAATTTAAAAATAATTTCATTCATTTGTGAATAAGTCCTGAAAATTTAATTAAAGTTCAATTATTTGATCTTTGCATGTGTTTTTTTTACTTAAAAAAGACGCTAAATTTCCCATACTAATTTGTGGCCCACTTGCTGACGCAAGAAAAACAAGATTTTTTAGCCAAAATTTTGAATGTACTAGAAAGGATTAAAAAATTTAATAAAAAAAGAAAATCAATACATTTTGGTTTTTCCATTTAATAACAAACATTTTGATAAGACTTGATAGATTTTTGTATTGTTGTGCTATTATTAACAATGATATATATAAAGAGTAAAAACTTCATGCCACTCATTAATAGATAAGCAACACTAACCATATATCAATGCCTAGAAAAAGAAACAGACAAAACTAAGTTCTAAACATGAAACTTTTCAACATATTCTATTAAGTGATCTCAAATCAATTTCAACTGTACATTCCTGAAAACTAAATTCAAAATGTTAAGAGGCTTTAATAAAAATTAAATGTTTATTTAAAGTTTTCAAAAATATACACTTAGCATTTTAAATAGACCAACTGCAAAAGTACTTCAGTAATTCAAATACTTGTTCAAGCTTTTATTTTATATTGCTTGAATAAATATTTTACACTGTCAGATTTTATTATGTAAATTTTAGTTTTTAATGTCTATAATAAATATCTATGATAATTTATTTGGTGGTGTGATTTAATTATACAAAAAGGGTTGTTAATCTTTATTATTTGTGTATACACACAAACACAGAGTTACTGATATTTTTTATATTTTAGATATAGTAAACAAATCAAAATATTGAAAACTTAACAGTTTTGCAGATGTTATGCCCTATCAGGGGGTTAATATAGTTAATTTGTATTTATTAACAGATATATACTACTTAAAAGAAATTACATGAAAAAGAAATGATAATTTTTATTAATGCCTTATTTCTTAATATTGAGCTCCTTACTTGGAAAGACTGCCTTAAAAGTGTTATCCTCCAGAAATATCCCAATCAACCAGGAAAAACAATCTTTGTTATAATTATCATTCAGCTATATACAAATTGCCAGGAGTCATAAAAAATGTTATAGAGATAAAAAAAACAAACAAAAGAGAAATTCAACAAATTAACAAAATAGAACAAGAAAAAATGGCTTTAAGAATGTCACAAAATGTGGAAAAGATTAAAATGTTGAATAAAGAAGAAAAATGGACTGATCAGCAAAGAATATTTCAAGAAACTTGCAAATGTAAAATGAGTAAGAACATTGGCTTCTTTCCTGTCCATAATCAAGTAAATGTCACAAAGAAAAATGTCTGAATGCAAAAAAGTATATGAAAATTCATCTTTCAACACTAATTTGTTGTAGTAATGAACATAGATGGTTGGTCACTTCATGGAAATAGTTAATCCACATGACTTAGAAGATAATGGTGGGGAGCATTGTTTTGGAACAGTATTGGAGGAAATATATAGCTCCTTTGAAAGTTGGAGATGTTAAGATAAATGTAGAAATTTATTCTAAGTTCTTTGACAAGACATTTTATGAATGGTACAGGTTACAACTAAGAAGTTTTAAAGTAGTCATGCAAGATCATGCTCTGTTACATTCTGCAAAGCTGATTGTCCACTTTACAAAAAATAAATTTCCAAGGGTGTGTCCTTAGGCATATGGAATATTGTGTCAGTCAAATACCTATCTTTGGTATTTGATAAATAAAAATTTACATTGTCCTTTGCATAATAAAACCCGAAATCCCCAAGACAAGTTATTACCAATATTTTCAATAAGGATAGATAGATATATTAAAATATATCCTGAAAATTAATGTATAATAGATAAAAACCTGTTCAATTTATATATATATATATAAAAAAAGAAAAAGAAAAAAAAAAGGAAGTAATTTTTCTTAAACAGAAGCCATTAACATTAAACTAATATTATACTTTCCATACAGTAACTAAAGCTAATATTTTCTTATAATGGCACTGTCAAATGAAACTGGTGAAACAGAGGTGGAATTCAAGGTTTAGAATCAAGTTACTTTTCATTTAATGATACACAGCTTAATGTACTTAACATGCTAAGTAGGAAATCCTGCATAGGCTTAAAAAGAAGAATTTAGAGAATAAGGTCAAACATAATTTGATTTTAAAGAGACTCTCAAATCAAACAGCTTAAGACTAAAGTAAAAGAAGTAAATACAGATATCCTAACATTATCCAAAACAGAAAAGTAATATTTGACCCAAGAGTAAATTTATCCAATATTTGGAAATAAACTATAGAGATATCAAATAACCTCTAGCTTATCACACACATCAGAAGCTTTTAATAATATAAAGAATATCTTAGATTTCTAACAAGCTATATTATGTTAAAACAATATTCTTTTTCTTAAGAAAGACAGAAATTTAAGAAAATGCAAAATATTTAAAAAGAAACAAAATTCTTAGTTCAAAAATAAGCTTTGAAAAATTGTATTTAACAAGGTATAAAATTTAGAAAAGAAAATTATTTCTAATATATCCATTTCAAAATAACTTTTTATACAAGTACTAAAAATAACACTATTTTTGCTACTAACAATGACAAAGAAAAAAGTTACAAGTTGAAGATACCACAATTCATATTTGAAAATTAACAAAATGATCATTTTCTGTTTCATAAACATACAGGTTAGCATCATTTTAATTTTGATTTGGAAAATTTCCTCTGTAAAAATTAAAATTAGTTAAAGATTTTATATACAAATCTGTAGATTACAATAATTAAAGTTATTTAATGGAATTTTTTTGTTTCTTTTAGCAAAAGACAATCATGAAGATTACAAACAATCACTTTGGTAATGAGCCCCTTCTTTACCAAAATGCTATGGAAATACAGTGAACTCTATGAATATCTATTCCATAAGTCATAGTGAAATATCTGATACAAATTTTAATTGCAAAAGAACAATTAAATACAGCTTGTCACCCTAATTCTTTCAGTTTGTTTAAGGTATGTTTTCTAATCAGAAGGAAAACTATTTAGAAAATACAATGAAGAAAATCAGCATAGTGAGCATTTTGAAAAATAACAGAAACATAATAATTTTAATACTATTTACTTCACTATTACAACAAATAAAAATAGTGAAATATAATTTCTGCTATGTTCATTGAACAGAAAGTAATAAACATTGTTACATGAATGGATTCTGATGTCATGAAGTATTAAAAGATCTACGAAGAATATTATCAAACTTTTCATGGAAAACTGGCATAGTCCCTAGTAGCTGTCAGGTGGCAACAAAAATACTGAGAGAAAAAAAAATCTAATTATCTATCTTCAGATGCCATGAATAGGAAAGTAAGAATTATTTGGATAAAATGATGCATGTGATGAGGCAAATGCAAAAACATTTAAAACCTTTTTAATTAAAGAAAAAGAAAAGAAAAATATTTTGAAGTAACTGCTTTCAGCAAAAAAATGAAAGATTGAGAAATGAGTAGATGTTAAATGGAATGAAGAGGCAGGGGTAGAATGTGCTATAGAGAGAAAATATAAAATGTTACATGCCTCAAGTGGGTTTTCAATGCCAGACAACTGACATTGAAAAAGATAATAAAAACATCAATGAACATATACAAGAGGAAACCAATTAAATTCTATTTAGAGACCAATACCTCTGGACATTTAATGAATATCAATTGTAAAAAAATAATTAAATCATTATCTAATTATAAGCAAATAAAAGCTAACATTTAAGCTAACAGAACACAAGGCTGTTCAGCTATGCCAGATTTCCATTTGTTACAAAGCTTGGTATCCTAACAATTTCCACAAATTGCAAGACTAGGTTTCATTCACAAGAATTTCAAAGTTTTCAAGCAAGATTGTATCAATTCTAATGCTATTGTAAATTAAAAAATTTTGCAATTAACAGATTTAAAGTTTATGCTAAGATTTAAATGATTTTAAAGTATATAATGCTGAAAATATGTAAAGTTTGTGCTGGTGTAACATGAATTTTTGTATACACAATGTATATGCAAGCAACTAAGTTAAAGTAATAATCAAAATTTACACACACACACACATTCACCAATACATTTATAGATTTTGCTTTTTTAAGAAAGCAATATCAAATTAGTTTCATTTTCTTGTCCAAGAAATAATTACAAATATAAAGTATAGAATAATGGCTGGAAAAGAAAAATAGAGGAAGAGACAAAATGAAGAGAAACAATAAAATGAGAGAAATTTCTTTTCACTTTAAGATGAGAAAAGAGAGGAAAGAGTGACGAGAGAGAGAGAGAGACAAGTGTGAGAGGAAAGGAGAGAGACAAGTGTGAGAGGAAAGGAGAGAGACAAGTGTGAGAGGAAAGGAGAGAGACAAGTGTGAGGAGGAAAGGAGAGAGACAAGTGTGAGAGAGGAAAGGAGAGAGACAAGTGTGAGAGGAAAGGAGAGAGACAAGTGTGAGAGGAAAGGAGAGAGACAAGTGTGAGAGGAAAGGAGAGAGACAAGTGTGAGAGGAAAGGAGAGAGACAAGTGTGAGAGGAAAGGAGAGAGACAAGTGTGAGAGGAAAGGAGAGAGACAAGGTGGGAGAGGAAAGGAGAGAGACAAGTGTGAGAGGAAAGGAGAGAGACAAGTGAGAGGAAAGGAGAGAGACAAGTGTGAGAGGAAAGGAGAGAGACAAGTGTGAGAGGAAAGGAGAGAAAGGAAAGACAAGAGAGGAAACAGAAGAGTATGAGAAAAATAAAATAAAACAAAAAGGTAAAGAAAAAGAATTAAAGCTCAGAATTAATAATTAATATAAAAGTATCATAATTTCACTTTTAAATACTTAGTTTTAATGAAACCAGACCATTATGAAGATTTTGAACTTTTTAATAATTTGAACAGGATTTAAAATAATTATATCACTTTTCCTTTATTTATTTAGACATGTTAAAAGAAAATGTTAAGCATCAATTCTTCAGAAGACAGCAAGTATAAAAGAAAAAATAATTACTCTGAATTTGGGCATTTATTGACCCATCTTCTCTTTAATATTCATTTTTCTTCTGTTACTTATATCCCTTGTCCAAATAATTTCTGTCCACTTTCAAATGTTTTACTTTTTTTGATGATAAAAATATTTAGTCCTGTCTCTCTGGCCATCACAAATGAATGATTCACTTGGAGAGTTTCAATATAGCTACTAAATGGTAGAATTGTAGTTTTTTTCTTTGCCTTTAGATCTACAATCAACTATTTTATTCTTTAGATATTTCTACATTTAGATTTGCACATTATTTCTCAAATTTTTCGTTTTCATACTAAACTTGTTCTGAGACTAAGGGAGAATTGAAAAAAATAGATGGGACAGAAAGCAAGAACGAATATCTTTTATAAAAATTTTAAAACTTATTGCAATAATTTAAATAAATTACTTTTGAGACTGTTTAAATGTCAATTTTTGTCATCCACAATTAAGTTTGATTACGCCATGATTGTTGTTTGCCAAGGAATTTAATTTTGTAATTAAAAATTTTCTAAATTAAAGTAACCAATACAGAAAGATTCAAGGAAAATTCATGGTTTTACAAGTAGATTTTGAAAAATAATATTACTTTTTACTTAAAATATAATGTAATAGATATTTGCTTAGAAGGCATTTATGTGACCTGTCAACTCAGTTCAAAAGTCACCTATATGTGATGAAAGCTTGCTTGAATTAACAATTGTCTCATGGCCATGACAAAACCTGATTAACCACAACAGCAAAAGCATATTCCCAACATAATGGATTATACAAGTTTTCTCATAAGATCCACATGATCAATTACCAAATAAACATTTTAGTTTTTATTGAGTTTAAAGAGACTTAAAATGTTAGGATTCAAATTATATTTTTTATTAAACAAGAAAGTTTTATTTATCTTTATTTGGTTAAAATTCTCAATATTCAAGTAAAAAACAAAAAAATACAAGCATTTAATAAGTATCATTATCCTTTCACAAAAGAGAAAGAACAATACTAACAGGAGAGAAACCAATAAAGTACATTTAAAGTTCTTAAAACCTTATTTTTCTTTACATTCTGAAAAAGATAATATATGTGAAGATCTGTGTCAATGTGTGCTTTTTTCAGCTGAAATTATTAATCCAATAAGATTAACCATGCTTCAGGGAACTTCTGGAAAGGTAAAAATCACATTATCTTGCTAGCTCTAAAACATAAGCAAGGCTTTTAGATCCCAATTAAATGAAAATAACACCAGTTTACGCAAAAATAGTCAAACTTAAAAACATTATTAAATTATTAGCAACATTCATATTAAATACAATGTTAAAAAAAAGAGAGAAAAAGAAACTAGGAAAAGCAATGAAAGTTTCAAATTAAGACAATAAGTCAAGAAAAATATCAATGACAAAATTATCAATAAATCAGCATTATACCTGTGTACATCGATAAATAAAAATGAAAAATACCTCAAAATATTAATGTTGCTTTTACTAATGCTTTTTTGTAGTTGATCATACATGTTTTTATTTTGCTTTCTTCATTCAGAAACTAAAATTTTAATCTTATCACAAAGTAACATTAAGAGTATATTTTTATTTAACAACTTGTTGACAAAATATTCAGCTGAAAATGATGCAATAAATAAAACTTATAAATTTAAAAAATTCAGTAACATTCGAAAACCTAACAAAGATTTGAAAAAAATTCATATTAAAAAAAATCATCAATATTTAAAAAATGAAACTTAAGAAAATGTATTAATCATAAAGATATGAGAAGCTAACCAAGCTCCAATTTTATTTCAGAATTTTACAATAACACCTATACAATCTGATAAAATGTAATCTTTACTCCATAAGTAGTTTTATGTTAGAGGTTCTATACATAATCCCAATGTAGATTTATTTTCTCATTTTAGTTAGAAGAAAACAGTAGTTAGTATGTGTTCAAAAGCATTCACAAAAATATCTTTAGTCCAGTAGGCTACTTGATAACAAACATGGAGATATATATATATATATATATATATATATATATATATATATATATATATATATATATATATATATATGTGTGTGTGTGTGTGTGTGAGAAAGATGTTCAACAACATATTTCAAAACATTGCATGTAACTGTATAGCCACAAATTTATAAATTAAAACCAAAATTTTCAAGCTATATTAGATCATTACTTTTTTTTTTTTTTTTAAACATTTCACCCCAAGCAAGGCAGGAAGCCACTAGGACGCAAGGGGTTACAGAAAATTTAGAGCAAGATCAGATAGGAGTGATAGAAGAAAGGATGAGGAGAAGAGTAGTGGATAGATCAAGGCAACTGGAGATGTCGATTGACATTACACTTGAATAGCTGGAGATTATAGCTCACAGGGAAACAGGAATAGGGAAGGGAGTTCCACAGGCGAGAGGTGTGAGACATGAAGCTATTGAAGTAGAAGAGATGGCTACATTTAGGAGTTTCGACAGTGAAGGAGTGAGAGCAGGATGCCAGCCTCGTATGGTGCTTGAACTCATGATGTCTGGGAACCAGCGAATGCAGCTCCTCGGATACAATTTCCTATATATTTCAGTGTTCATATATTTTATGTGCAAGTACATTTAAACATGCAGTAGAAATGCACTGACAACATTTGTGAGGCTTTTACTAAAAGAAAACAAAATGCATTCTTTTATATTTTCTAACAAAGAATTGAATGTTAAAAAGACAAAAGGAGACAATTTCTATAAATCTTTGCTATAAAAATAATAATTTGAAGTATCCTAAAAAGTATTTTAAAATTACTGTTCATTTCACTGATACTCCAATTATTTAATCAGTTTTAAATGAAAAGTTAAAAAAAAAAAAAAAAATATCTTCCAAAATATTTTCAAATATTATTCCACCCTTTCATGGTCACCAAAATACATTATATAGCAGTATCATCCACTAACAAACATTTCAAACTTTATCCTTCTCTATAAAGAGTAATAAAGCCTCAACTAATTCTTAATAAATTTATAATGGTAAAATAGACTTTTTGGATAAATTAAGCAACTTATTTCTAGTATTCAATTCATTGCAAAATTGAAGATCAAGACAAAATTCCTTGAGCACAGAATTTATTCTGAAGGTTATGTACATTCCTAAAATTAAGCTGCCTTCGTTAATCAAAATTTAGAAAATTAACACTCAATTTATAATTTTATAAACAAAACTTACAAAGTTTAAATTGGAAAGATCACTTGATTGTTGGCAGATATCAATCATGGCATAATCAAAGTTCATTTTGTATGACAAAAAGTGACATTAAAAACAGTGTAAAATGTAATGACAATGCTTTCACTTTAAATTGAACTGTTATTAAAATCTGATAATATGATTACTTCAGAGGGCAGAATTTTAGTGAATGATTGATAAAGAACCTTGGGAATTAGTCATTGCTTTAGTCACATTTTGAGGAAAGCAGACTCAATTAAAGCCAATGCCAGCTGATTATGTGAACATAAAATTTCCTTTTATTTTGACTTGTAACAGTGCAAAGCCTATTTTTAGTTAAAAGAGAAATAGGCATTTAATAGATCATTTGACAACTTTAATAGAAAACAACTGGCATATATTTAATCTCAATAAGAAATCAATTTAAAACATTGGAAATGTGCATAAATCTGTTTACATTCCATGTTATTCACTTGTAGTAACATAGGAGAGAGAAATAGATGGACTAATTACATTTTTTGTTAAATTAGAAAGTTTTTCTTTTTTGTTTGTTTGGAACATACAATTCAACTAGTACTTGGTAAAATATCCTGAACAAAACAACTTAAAACAAAAAATATTATAAAATATATATTTATGTTAGAACACTCACATTTTGAAGCCTAAAATGTACTTAATAGATAAAAATCATTACAAATTAAAAACTATCAAATTACAAAACTACTGCTTTTGTTTAATTTAAATTTCATTTGAATAATAGTAATGCCCTTGTAATAGAGGTTGAGACCTACTCCAAAAGAATAAAAAAAGATTTAGTTAAGTACAAGGAAAGGGGATTTTTTTATCAAAAGAAAGCAGGGGTTTGAAATTATCCAATCCAGTGTGTAGTTCATCTAAATATTGTCTGCAAAAAAGAGGAAAATACTCTTGCTACGAGCATATGAATTTCTTCCTGTATTAGTGTCAAGTGAGTATGTGATTGACAGCCACATTAAAAGGAAGTGGTGCATAACATTTGCATTGCCAAGGATTGAGACAAGGCCAAGATTACAAGCTGACAATCTCAACATAGTTGAATCAAAGGAAAATGGACAATCAAATAAACCATAATAATGTGATAACATGCAAATGACAAATCCAAAACATACATATACTTGCGTTCGGAAAGATAAAAAAAATTAAAATCACTTGTTTTCTTAAAAGTACTATTAACTATTACTGCTGCCAGAGTTTTAACATTTACAGTAAAATGATATTGCCAATAATAAATGTACACAAACATGAGGGAGACAGATATACACATAAAAGCAAAAATGTTTTAAATCATTTTTGCCAAATTATTGACTAAGTTGACCAGAGACGAGATGCTAGTCTGATGAAGTCCTTCTAGGGCATGAAACACATTACATAGAAATTTTTTCCCCATTTTGTCATTGATCTGCCTAAGATAGTTCATAAAGCAAATAAGTGATTCAAAAAGTAATAGGTTTAAGATTTTCTATTTCTTTTGACCACAGCATGTCTCAAATAGCATACCAAAACAATTACATTTTCATTATTCTATTAAATAAATTTATTTTAAAGGTCTAATTGGAATTATCAATTATGTAAGGAGAAAATGAATTACTAATCCTTATTAAAAGAAATCCATTTTTATTAAAATTTTCAAGAATCTTACATACAATCACAAAGGGTATCAGGTATCAACTAGAAAAAGTCGATTTATTTTTCCCTTATGACGGAATGAGGAATCAAGTTGAGAAGTTTTGTTCTTATTCTGTTAAAATTGTCCAGTAGTTTCTTGAGCTCCATCACAGACAAGATAAAGGAGAGAGGAGGGAAATGAAGCAATAGACTAAAAGATTAAATTGAGTTGGGGGAAGACGATTATTAACAATGACTGTAAATGTGCTCTTATTGCCTGGAGAAGCCAGAGATAACTAATCTTTAGGGAAAGGAAAGGGTCCACAACAACACACCTGCCTTGGCACAATTGGTAAACTTTTTTTTTTCTCCATTGATCACACACAACTTGGTTGCAAGAATGACATAACTGATTTTTTAAGCACACATTTATTGTGTTGTATGCAAATAAAAATTTACTTAGCTATTTTTGACGAGTCTCATGTGAGCACTAGTTCAGAGAACGAGGGAAAACCTGATCATTATCATTGGAATGAACAAGGAAGGGTGGGAGAGACAGTAATCTTAGACCCCTCCCCTATCCTTTCTTTGCTGCCGAAGAACACTGTTAGTTACTTAACCTCCCCACAATCTGGTTCATCTCCTTCCTATATACTCCTCTCACCCATAGACAGGAATTTCAGTTCATACTGCATCTTTATTTTTTCTTCCAGTGTTATTTCTATTCTCTCTCCATGTGCACTTCGATTATTATTGAAAAATTTAAAGAAACTAAAAACACTCCATATAAACTAAACAACTAATGACTATTTTAATTAAAACAAAACCAGCAAGATCCTTTTTTCCTTCAATGTCGAAAAACGTTTGGTTTTTTTGGTTGACTGTAGTACATATAACTCGAAACCATTTAAAAAGTACAGTTAGACACAATATGCGACAGACAGGTACACACAGAAACGTTACTTTTTTTTTTTCATTAAAATTAAAAATGACTACTTTTTTTAGTTTAGTGAGTCTTTCGATCGATTTCCTCCCCCGCCTCCATTTCTTCATAGCCGCTATTCTTTAGAAAACGAATAATAGTTTTTTTAGTCAATTGGAAAATAGAAGCCAGTAGGAAAAAAGAGAGAGGGGGAGATTTTGTGGAGAGATTTTTACCAATGATGTCAGCCAAGGAAATGGAGAAGTTCTTGATTCGACAGTAGAAGAAAAGGAGGGGAGAAACAATTAACTTTTAATTTATATGCTTCTGTTTTTACTGCACTTCATGCGTGTGCGCAAATACAAAAACAATGACAATGTCTGTTATAAACAAATCGGAGAGAGGGGAAAAGAAAAGTAAGCTTCTTTTCCTGTTCACATTTTTGCCCCTGTATAATGAATGTAAATGTGTACATGTTTGTCGTCAAAGAGGTGGAAGGTCTTGTTATCTGAGGGTCCAGAAGCAATCACTTGCCAGATCCGCAAGAGACTGAAGGGTAAGTAAAGTACTGAAAAGTAAAACTAACTAGGGTGGTCGGAATAAGTGAATAATAAAGGAAGTACATAGTAGTAGTAATATAAAAGACCGAGAGAAAAAATAATAAGAGTGTACTCTAGCAGCGCACAGAGGAAGCACAAGGGAGGAAGGTTTATAAAACCACCACTCTACCCATTCCCAGTTCTTAACCAGTCCGACATAGCTGCGTTGTCCCCTTTCCTCCTCCTCCTCCTCATCTATTTCGCAGAGCAAAAGAAGGTGGTCAGAAAGTGGGGGATCAATTCCAGGTCGCATTGCCTCCTTTCCCAACCCTAACTTTACACCTCAAAGTAAATACACCATCCGAGCAAAACAAAGCCAATTCACAACCTTCATTCTAATAATAATGGAAGAATGTGTAGTCGAATTACGTCCCCACACATTTTTTAAATTGATCCCCTCAGACGATGACATGGTGACGGTGGTCTATAGCAAAGCAGCCACCAGCATATCTTCCCGTACCTTTTATATATATATATATATATATATATATATATATATATACACACACACATACATCTTCCTCTCGTAGCAGTAGTAAATCACCATCAATTTTAAACCAGTAAAAGCAGGACGTTAAATCTCAGAAGACATGGGACATGAAAATCGCAATAAAACCTCATTATTTATAAACGAGTTCTAGCAATTAAAAAAGAGGAGAGAAGAAAGAAAAAAAAAACATTATTACATGATGCAACGGTAGACATACAAAAATACGATAATCATTATGGAGTGGGGAGAGAGAGTGAGAGATAGGCGGTGCGATTAAAATATTTCAAACAAAAACACTGATCAAATTCAAATTTAACTCATCTGATTCATAGTAAAAGTGTCATTTCGTTTGTTGTGTGTGGTTAGGTTGTTGAAACCAGAAACACTGACAACAATTTTTTAATATTTGGTAAAAAAAGGATTTAAAAATATTCTAAATGCACCCATTATCATACACAGGTAGGCATCACAGTTTTTCACTAAGGGTGTAGTATGCACTTTTTGAGTAGTCAAAAAGAATAAGTTGATTTTAACCACACCACAACAATGCTCGTTCTAGTCGTACTACTGCTATTATTACGAGATATACTATGTTATGCCAGCTTCTAAATGAACTGAATCTATTACCAAATCAAAACGTGTACTTTTCAATAGGTATGTTTTTGAGAGTAAAACGAAGAACCATTTATTTAACAAAAGGCATAATTTTTGATTGAACAAAGGAAGCAAAACAAATATTCGATTATTTCTTCTCTTTCCAAAACAAACAATACACGACCATATAAAAATCAAAGCAAAAAGAAAAACAAGACGAATGGCTTGTTTTTTTTGTTTTTTTTTTTGTTCTCAACAGATTTTCAAATAAGAGCAATATTAGTTTTTCTTATTTACTTACTTTGTCATATTATTAAAATAACGAGATGAAGACTGAGCAAATAGAGAATGACTTCAAGCCCAATCATTCGATCGTCATTAAATAATTAACACTAAATAAAAACAGAGAAATATCTTTTTTTTTAACTGAGAAGACAAGGAAGTAATGATCAATAATTGTTTTGATATTTGTACGGCCGGCTTTATCTGAAGAGTAGAAGAAAATAATAATAATAATAAAAAAACACAAAATAAATAAACAGTAGTCGATACCTAGTAATCTGCTGGGTACAAACGAAGGGAAAACCTTCTTAAAAGGCTGAAAAGAGAAACTGGAAACCTATCCAGAGCAAAAAGCAGCAGAGAAAGAGAAGATGATTTTTTTCCTTCTCCTTTTGTCAGTTGTTAGCTAGCGCTACCAATAAAAAAAATCTTGGAGTCGAACTAAAGGCAGACATCAGCAGCAGGGATATAATAGTGTGTGGCTACTGAATTGACTACTAGACATACACATATATATATATATATATATATATATATATATATATATATATGTGTGTGTGTGTGTGTGTATGTATGTATGTATGTGAGAGAGAGAGAAAGAAAGATGAGGTAATGAATGGCTATCATAGAAAAAAAAAAGTTATTTAAGAGGCTTCCTGTTTTGCACTCTTTCGACATAAAACCTTACACAAACAACTGGAAATTAATTTTGCCGGCAATTTTCAAGTAAACTTCGATCGAACGAGAGAAAAAGGAAATGATTAGAAAAGAAGAGAGAAGCCGGCGGCTTGGGTGAAATGTTGAAGCAAACATTTTTGATCAGAAGCGATGGGCTTGTGTTTTTTGAAAAGAGACGACTGGCCATTGTGATAGTGATTCGGGAAATGAGCGGCAAAAAGAATACAAGTAATAAAGCGAGCAGTTGCACTAATAGAGATGATTATGACAAAAAGAAAGCAGAATGCGAACGAATTAAAAAGGAAAGAGTTTGATGTTGTACTTACAAGACAAAGTGTAGATGTTGGCTTTGGAAGAAAGCCGGAGGTCGCTACCAGGAGGAGGAGGAAGAAGAAGAAGGCTGAGAGGAGGAGGAGTGTGGGGGTAGGGTAGAGAGCGGGTGAATATCCGTCTCAGCAGCAGCAGCGGCGGCGGCAGAAGGGCGGCATTTGGGCGAACGGTCGGTCGGTCGGTCGATTGGAAGTGGGGAAGACATGCGAGTGTGTGTATCTGCAAGTGCGTGTGCACATGTGTGGATGCGCACGCGCGTGAGACTCCGTGGGAGAGTTGGAGGGGGGAATGGAGGTGGCACGAGCCAGGCATGCCGGGATTGGATCGGTAAAAAAATAAGAAAAAAAGCAATGTCCAATAAACGAAGGAGGAGGAAGAAGAAATGTGACATGGTCGAGGGAGGGAGAGAGGCAGAGAGAGAAATAGTCTACATGGGAAGGGAGTCTGGATGTGACAGTGGGATGTAGGAAGCTTAGATAAGAATACAAGGAAGTAGTGGGAGAGTAACAGACACGCGGAGGAAAGCAGGGTGAGAGTGTGAAAATGTAACGTACATACTGTGGGATAAAGTGTAGCTGCGATACAGAGAGAGGAGTAATGGGCTGAAGTAAATTTGAAGGATTGTAACACATTTTAAGAGTTCAGTAGCCGTCGTAACACCGGGTTAAGAAGAATAAGAAATAAATGTGACATAAAATTGGTTAAGTGAAGTGTGAGGCAAATTGCAGAAAAGAAAAATGAGGAATAGTGCGAGCGGTGAATGAGGATAGTGGGGCATGGGAGAGAGGGGCATTTTTTAAAAATGTATGATTGAAAAAAGAAAAAATAGAATAGTTAATAATAATAATGACCCAAAATCACTTGTAAAAATAAAAATAGAAAAGAGAATAACTCTCAGGTGTATGGGGAGAGCAAGCAGGGACAGAAATTTAATGCCGTAGATCATTACATTAATGATGATAGCAAGACAAGGGGTAGGGGTAGATGTACTGAAAATTGTACTTGGATGAGGAGAGTGTGGCAAATGAAACTGACAGGGTAAAAATAAAAGGAAAGGAGTATTTTTAATTTATCCGTTGATACAATGGTTGAATAAAATGTCTAAGAAAAAATTTGTAATTTTTTTTTTTTTTTTTTGGAAAAGAAAGAAAAAGTTTAAGGAAAGAAAAACGGTGTAACAAGGAGGGGGAGCTGAAGAGAAAAACTAGAGAGCCTCGTTTTCACTTTTTCCCATTAAAAAAAAACAAAAACAAAACTCAACCCAAAAAGAGCATACTTTTATCGACTGTTCACTCCTGGTGTTGACAAGCTGCAATGCCCCTTAGTCCTATGACATTTTCCCTACCTACTGACACCTTCCACCCACTTTCAACTATATTCACGTGTGTGTGTGTGTGTGTGTGTGTGTGTGTGTGTGTGTGTGAGTGAGTGAGAGAGAGAGCATATATTTATTACAAACATGCAGATCAACCAACTCATTCAGACAGACAATATTCATCCATCTCCAATTGTGACAAATGCAGAAAAGGTCACATGTGTGCAGATAATCATATAACATAATACACACACAGGAAATGATATATGATCCATTCTTAAAGAGCCTGCAGGCAGAAACACACACACACAAAGAAAAAAATTTTCTTAAATTTTAGTGCTACAGATGCTTATATGAATCACATACTTCTAAAATCACAGAGATGGATAACTCTGAAATGAACAGCAGTTTCAAATTTTTCTTTTAGTTTCTTACATCCAATAAATTTGAATGCATTAGATGCAAGAACAAGTTTTTAAATTTTCAGTTATTTACTCACTTTTATAAAATCTATTGGATAAGATCTAACTTTTACTAAAAAGAATTTTTAAAAAACTAATGTCATTAGTTTGAATAGTAACTGTAGTGAACCCACATTTATTGATGTTTATAAATCTCATAGATAACCAGGTTTTCAGGTGCTGCATGATATAAACATAAATAGTAATCACTTGTCAATGATCACTAATTAGTTGATTTTAATATTGTGTACAAACATTTATAAATACCAACTGATCATATAACAAAAATAATGTTGCCACCAAAAGATAATGTTACTATTATTTATCACATAATAATAATAATAATAATACAGACTCTGTAGTCGCTGCCTACATGCTCTTGTACATCTTTATTGTCAGTACACATTAATAAGATACCAAGGCCAGAGAAATGAGAAAGGAAAGAAAAAAAAAAGCAATAGAGAATAACTAAATGATATGGCATTGCTAAAAGGTCATTAGGGAATGTAAGCTTGGGACACACAAAATGTAACAATTGAAAATAGTGCCATACATGGGGGAAGTCTTTTCATTGACTCCTCCCTCCTTTTAATATATCAAAAGTAGGAAGTTCCTGTTGTCTTTGAAATCTATTAACATTGGTCAACAACATTAATCTGATAAGTAAGTGCTAAAAGAATTTGATATTGTTTCTCCTCCTACCAGAATAAATCTGATGTAACAAAGCAAGAAGTTCTAATTAGCACAATGTACACAAGTAGGTGACCATGATGATTAGAACTTTTTCCCCCTATTTATTTTCTTTGATTTATACAACAATGCTGCTTATGTAGCCCCAGAATTATAGATTTAAGAAAAAAAAAAAAAAAAAAGCAATTATCAGTGTTTTGGTACAAGGGTAGGTTCTGGATATGTACTTCTCTCAAAATGATGAAGAGATCCATAGATTTCTTAGATTTTCCAAGAGTCTAATGCAAACAAACATGATCACAAATATAGTGGTTCTATATTAATATCCAGTTTCATTTTCTTTATCTGGCCATTTGAAAAATGCAAGAAAAATTTGTACATTTTATAAAAATACAACTAAAGATATTTTGTAAAAACACAAACATTTGAAATTACTAACTTTTGATTCTGTTAATGTGCAGTAATTGAATCAAACTTCTTTCACCACAAGAAACAAATGTTATATTCCTCAACACATTGATATAAGCAATTTAGAAATTAAAATATTTATTTAAATTTAATGGCAAATTGAAATTTGATAGTTGCTTGTAGTAGTGTTTATGAAGAAAATCTTTAAAAATCTATATAAATTAAGATTTGTTAAAATGAATAAATTAGATTAAAATTATAGCAGACACATTATTAGAATATATTGTATTAATTAATCAATTTCAGACAAAATTAAAAAAACATTTTTTATTGAAAATTATTAAGATATAATACCCAGACTGAGTGAATAGCAAGTTAAAATTTAATTAACCTATAATTTATGGACAGAGATAAAAATTACACAGCATTTAAAACTTCAAATGATTACTCTGCAAAGTTTCAGCTTTTAAGCATGTATAATTATTAGAAATTTGATATATTCTTCAAGTAACACACATCCAAATTGAGCCACTATTAAATTTAAATATTTGCATGCATTTTGTGTCTGCTACTACGTCTGCACACCAGATATAAATAAAGGACAATATATCAAGTAGTCCTATTCCATGTGAGTCCAAGCAGCAATCTGGGTAAGAAGAGTCATCAAGAAATCTTTCTGTGTCTCATTTATTTCCTATTGTATGAAAACACTTCATAAGAAAAGATTTCTGAAATATAAAAATTTTGGATTTAAATTTTATCTGCTTTCTTTTATTCCTTTTTCTTTGAGGATGAATTTAATATTTTTTACAACACTAAATTTTCACCCCTTCAATCTCTCTCTCTCTCTCTCTCACACACACACACACACAGAGTAAAAGTAAGATTTATAACAAAGTTTATACTTTCAAAATTGCAGCCCATAATAATTGAGACTTGCTTGAGCAAAAGTTTTGAATGTTGTTCTACTTTCTTGGATGATACCGATCTGACAAATATTGGAGCGTTTTTTTGTTTCAAAGCAGATTTCCTTTAGCATCTCACTGTACCATTACAATTATGGTTAATATTTTTTCTTTTATTTCTTTAACCATATTTAGAATGCCCCAAAAAGGATTTTTTTTCTTTTGAGATTATATGCTAATTTTATATTACTGAATTCAAAATTTTAAATTTTTTATAAAATGGAACAGTTTTTAATTTGTTTTTATCAAGTGATATTTTTATATTTGTTTCTATAGGAATGAATATGTATAGACTTCAAAATAACTAATAAAATTCTTACTTCAACAATGTTTCAGTAAACATACAGAAAAAACATTCAATTTATCAATTGTTTAAATACAATTGAGAGGCTACATTTATATTTTAAAGGTATAATCACTTGATTGCATTAAGTTTTTATTTTATTTTTAAAATAAATGTGTATTTTCAATAGTATCTACATAAAACATCTATATTTTCTTACTATATTTGGTTGTAAGGTCTTATATTCATATTTAATATTACAATATTATGAAGTTAGGTTAGCTACAAGTACTGGTACTCTATGGTATCTGGGTAAACATTAGCCTACCAGATACCATAAGACTTCACCATTTACATTTAATATTACAGTATTATGAAGTTAGATTAGGTAAAAGTACTGATAATCTATTTTGTCTGGGGAAACATTAGCCTACCAGATATATCATTTACTGTTATTTATTTACTGCTACTGTTATTACAGCTTTAGGGATGCAAAATGTGATTATCTCCCTTTGGTTGAGATTAAGTCATGGCGTTCACATGACAGCTGCTTAGTGATGTCAGATCAGAGTGATGAAAGTGGTCAGTCATTTAGTTAGCCTCCTGGAGTTAAACTGAGCATTTGCTTTTTTAGCATAGGCAAAGATTAAATCTGCCTACCCAGGCCAGCTGCCAAGCAGCAGCACACAAGCCCATAGTATAGTTTTCCCATTAGAGAAAATATGTCCTTATTAGAGACATCAAGAAACTATCTCTGGCTTGCAATCTTCATGTTGGGAAATACCCATGACTCACTGTTTTTCCATTGGGAAATATGTCCTCACCAAAGACAGAAGATAAAATCTGCCCCACTCAAATTCCCATTGGAAAATATAAATGTCTTCTCCAGAAACATAGAAGAATCCTCTGACAGCTCAAATCTCTGTTAGAATTATTACAAGACATTTTATCACTTCTCCATTTTCACACTGCTTGTTATTGAATACATGTTATAGTTTGTCGGTATGGGGCAAGTGTAAATATTTCTATATATATTTTGTGTATGACTTAGTGGTATAAAAATCTCTGAGAACAAAGTATATTTGTCCTTCCTTTTCTTTCAGCTATTCTGTTCCATCTGTGTATTAATAGGGAATGCAAACCAAGAATTTTTTGTTCTCAAATAGCACCCCCTCCCTCATCACAGTATCGAGAAGTTAGGCTAGATGCAAACAAATACTGGTAGTCTACACATAACTTAAGTTGGCATATATAAATTATGAGATATTATTAGTTATGTTTTGGGGGAAAAGGGAGTCTTATATGCAATCAAATGCAGTACTGAAACATTTCAAACATTGGAAGCTCTGAAATTTTAAGAAGAATGCTAATGAAGTACTTTTTAACCTTAGAGATTAAAGGCAATTAAATGTTAATTGAATCAACAAATTTACAGAATAAGCTTAATTCCTATGTAAGTTGAGAATTAAGACAAGTAATTTTGAATAATTATAGAAAATTATATGCAAGC